TAATTATTAGCTATTATTATCATTGAGTGCTCTGTAAGAGGAAGTTAGCTCTAGAGGTGAGGGAGACACTTTTTCAGACAACAAAAGTGCAGGTGTGAATTCAACCAGCAGGATGTGACTCCCTGTGTTAGTTTCCTATTGCTGTGCTAACAGATTACAACAAACTTACTGGCTTTAAACAACACAGATTTATTCTACTACAGTTTTTGAGGTCAGAAGTCCAAAATAGATTTTCACTGGGCTAAAATTGAGGTGGCTGCCTTCCTTCTGGAAGCTCTGGGGAGAATCTGTTTCTTTGTCCTTCTGGTTTCTAGAGGCCACCTGCATTCCTTGGCACATGGATTCCTTCTCCATCTTCTGTGCCAGGAGTGTAGCATCTTCAAACTCTTCCTGCCTCTTTCTCAGAAGGACTTTTGTGATTACACTGGGCCCTAATGGATAATCCAGGATAGGCCGGGATTATCTTCCCATTTTAAGATCATTAATTTAATCACCTCTGCACAGTCATTTTTTGTGTGTGTAAGGTAACATAGTCTCAGGTTTTGAGAATTAGTATGTGGACATGTTGGGGTGGCCACTATTCTGCCTCTCACATACCCTGTCCCACCACACACACAAATGTGCTTACTATTGCATGTCAAAGCATTTGTAATAGCTTCTCAGTTTCAAAAAAGTATTTCCATCAATGGTGCTGACATTAAATATGCTTACTAACATTTAATAGACGCTGTCTTAGTCCGTTTGTGCTGCTATACAACACAGAAATTATTTCTCACAGTTCTGGAGACTGGTAAGTCCAAGGTCAAGGTGCTGGCATCTTGTAAGAACCTTCTTGCTGCATTTTCCCATGGCAGAAAGCAGAAAGGGTGAACCCACTCCCTCAAGCCCTTTTTATAGTGGCATTAATCTATTCATGAGGGAGGAGCCAACATGACCTAAACACCTCCCACTAGGCCCACTTCCCAACGCTGTTACACTGGGGATTAAGTTTCCAACACATAAATGCTGAGAGACATGTTAAGACCATAGCAGACAGTTAGGAGATAACGCATAAATCTTATCTAAGGGAAGGGATCAGAAACATTTACTGAATGTTCGAGGCTCTAGGAATGCAAACTTAAAATCAACTTAGTCTTTGCTCTCAAACACATTATAGTCTAGCGTGGAAGTTAGACATGTTGTTATAGAACAAGGAGTGAGCACTGTGAGAGAGGTTAACATAGAGTGTGTAGGTAAACAGAGGAGGTGCCCCTAACCAAAATGGGGGGTGAAGGTGGGCAGGGAAGGCTTTCTAGGGGGAGATGACACCTAAACCGAGTTGATGAGGATGAGTAGAGCCTGCCAGAAGATGAGATGGAGTTGGGGAAGGAGTTAGAGGGGTAAGTGGGAAATACTGCTCCAGGCAGAGAAATGACCCCA